AAAAAATCTGATTAATACAGTGTGATCCAGAATAATAAATGTGATCCAGATTGAGTGTGATCCAGAATAATGAGTGTGATCCAGAAAAGTGAGTGTGATCCAGAATAATAAATGTGATCCAGATTGAGTGTGATCCAGAATAATAAATGTGATCCAGAATAATAAATGTGATCCAGAATGAGTGTGATCCAGAATAATAAATGTGATCCAGAATAATAAATGTGATCCAGAATGAGTGTGATCCAGAATAATAAATGTGATCCAGAATAGTAAGTGTGATCCAGAATAATAAGTGTGATCCAGAATAATGAGTGTGATCCAGAATAATGAGTATGATCCAGAATAATGAGTGTGATCCAGAATAATGAGTGTGATCCAGAATGGTGAGTGTGATCCAAAATAATGAGTGTGATCAAGAATAATGAGTGTGATCCAGAATAATAAGTGTGATCCAGAATGATGAGTGTGATCCAGAAAAGTGAGTGTGATCCAAAATAATGATTGTGATCCAGAATAGTAAGTGTGATCCAGAATAATGAGTGTGATCCAGAATATTAAGTGTGATCCAGAATAATGAGTGTGATCTAGAATAATAAGTATGATCCAGAATAATGAGTGTGATCCAGAATAATAAGTGTGATCCAGAATCAATGAGCATGATCCAGAATGATTGTGATCCAGAATAAATGAGTGTGATGTGCAAAAACAATGTGATCAAGAATAATGTTGCTGATATAATACCACTGCACTTATAATGATTAAATTCAGAAGGTATATATTAATATATTTTAGGAATACTATTACATGTATTTACCTCTCATAAAAATGTTTACTAGAAAGAATCACACTTGGCCCTTCCACGCTTTGCAAGATCCTGGCCTACAAAATCCCTGTCGAATTTAACTGAACAAGTACCAGATCAAGATACTCTAATAAGTATACTATTTCATACAAATAAGGGTTCAATGAAAAAGCATACTTCAATCAAAACTAAAAAATAATGTTGACCCTCATTATTTAAATGTTCAACTGCCACAAATGTTCAACATCATGTGGATTTTTTCTCATTTCAATATTAATTAGGAAACTTAATAAATGAACCTCCCTCCATTCATTGCCCACCCGCACATTTAGTATTTGAAGAATAAAACCTGCATTTTATATTTATCAACATTCATGTTAAATACTAGTGAACTGAAAGAAGCAGACAATATGGAAATCCCTATTTATTAAATGGAGCGAATGAAAGAAATTAAGACTCTTTTTGGTAAAATGCATCAGAACATTATTCCAGAAAACACATCATGCTGAATGCTGCTCAGACAACAATGGCAACAAATCAATCAAGTACACCCCCAAATTTCTGCAACTGAATAACCAAAAGTAAAAAATGTACAGAAAAGGTGGTAAAGATGCAAGCAGAAGCTTGTCTAAATACAGACAATTCGAGCAGAACAATGCATTGCCCTGCCCTATTGTGCTAAATGACATCTCAGCTAGGAAAGAGAACAAAATGTTGGGGATTTTGCAAATGTTTCTAAGATAATAGATGTAAAGTGGCTCCTTACAGACAGAAAGGAGATGAAAGAATTAAATTGCACAGCTGCTTTTAATCAATAGTTGTTGACATTTCTGACAAAGATTCTAGCATTATAATTGTACTTTGCTTTTTTTCCGACACTTTGCTATAATTCTGTCTCGAAATACATTTTAGGAACTTTTTTATCTCGCGTTTTTTTCCTTAAACCTTTCCTGTCTAGAATTAATTTTTTTATAAAAAAATCCATCCATATTCAAGAAAAACTTGCACTTAAAACCTAAAAGGAAGTAACGACTTTTGTGTTTAAATGAAAAACGACACAAGAATTATATCTTACAGAGTGAAAGCCACACAAAGCCTATAACAGGATCAAGACAATAGAATATAAACCTAAAGTTGATTTAAAAATGAAAATTATGGAAAAAAAACAGACATAGGTACCAAAAACTTTGTTATTTAATATGGCTCAAAATGATTAAATTTCTCTCCTCAGATGCTTTGTTTATCTTGTTATAGCAACATATATTAAATGTATATACATGTATATTGTTATGTAACATATATAACTTATTAAAGGAACATTAAGCCTCAGATTTTACCTTTTTTAGAAAGGGCAAACATGAATTTTATACTGTTTAAATTATGGTTTTAGAGAATGTTAAATGCTGTTACCTGAATACAATAGTGATAAGTGTGAAATAATTTGTCATAAAAGTAGCAAAATGTGAACAAAGTAGTATTTTGACTTCCATACAAAAAAAATAAATTTACTATAAACTGTTTTTTTTGCCAAAAAAGCAACATATGAAAAAGATGGTTAGGATACAAATGTAATTGGCTAATGAGTAACCTTTTGTATACAATAAAAGTTAACAGCTTTTGAGAAATAAAAATAAAAACATTTCCGAGGCATAATGGGCCTTTAAAAAACCCATGTAGGCTACAAATAGAAATAATGATGTCTTACCACATTACTTGTGCTCCATAGAACTTCAATTCTATTCTTTAAAATGTCAATTTTGTTTTAATCTCCTACTTTTTCAAACTTGAATATTAAAACAGACACTAAATTGGTGTTAGTATGTTTTCAATAGGAAAATCAAGGTGTATCCCCAAAACAGGAAGAAAAAGAAATAGATCAGTCTAGTGTTGCGTTAATGTAATATGATTTGCATATAAATAGCATATGATATAAAGTACTGATAATCACTGATTACATCTAAAACCATGGCCTTTTTAAAAAAAATATCAGTAATCTTATCAGCGATAAAATTAAAATGTAAAATGCAATCTGCGCCAAGAATAAAATCATTCAGTATAAATAAATATCAGATTTTAAACTATCATAAATATTTGCATTAACTGGTGACAAATCAATTTTGTACTTTGGAATGCAGTTCTTTTCAGGCCTGATAACACATATACTCACCCCATTTAATGAAACCCTCTCATTGTTCCTACGATACCCAATTTTCCCATTTAAATTACATTCATAATCTGACACCCCCTCTCCTTAACCCCAACCACACCATTGTATACCCCACCCAATTACTAGTTGACACCCCCTCTTACCATAAAACCCCACCATCCCCCTAGTATATGCACCCAATTTACTGACAGCCCCTTGCCTTAGCTCATATTCCTCTACCAAACCTATGTCACACTCACCAACCATAAACTGACATCCTCATTCTCTAAGCCCCATCCCCTCAATCCAATGTTTCTCACCCTTATCACTGCTATGATCTCTTCTCTCTCCCCCCCCCCCCCCCCCCACTCCTCTTCAACATCTACAAACCAATCCCCTTTACAAAATTAAAAGCTTAATAAGTTCCCTTACTTTTTTCCAGTTAAATATATGTATGTCCTTACTGAACTTTAAATCTGAATATGATCCTTTGTAAAGAAATTGTACAATATTTACTGGAAGTAGGGGTTCATTGGTCAATTTTTGACAAAAACTTCCGAGTTGTGATCAATATGACATTAGATATGTATGTCAGAGATCTTTATCTGTTTTATTTACACTCTTTGAATGATGTTACAGTAGTGTACATTGATAAAACAGGAAACCATTTGATGACTGAAGTCAAGTACTTTAACTTTACATTGTTCAAAACAAGATTGTCAAAGAGCATGTAACTCTTATCAGTAGAATTCTTTGTACTTGTATGACTTGCTTCCCTTTGCTCCAAAGAGTTTACGATGCAACAGCTAATGAAAATTTCGATAAATATAATAACAAGAGCTGTCCGTAAGACAGCGCGCTCGACTTTTTTAGTGCTTGCCTATAATACAAAACATTGACAGTTAAGGGCCATAATTCAAATAAAATCTTTGACAGAATTACCTTCTCCTGGACATGTTTGGGAATCATGATTGTAAACAAGTATTCCAACTTTCAAATTAATATCTCAAACAGTTCAGTCAAAAAGTGGACTGGTACTAAAAACTTAACCAAGATTCTAAGTCGATAAAAGGCCTTAATTTTTAAAACAAATCCTTGACAGAGTTACCTTCTCTTGCGTACAGATGGGGGTAATGATGTGAAATAGCATTAAAAGTTTCAAAGCAATATCTCAAAGGGTTAAGGCAATAAGTGGATTTACCCATATTCAATGTATTTTCTAAGTCAAAAAGGGCATAATTCTGTCAAAAACCTTGACAGAGTTATGTCCTCTTGTCTGTTGATGAAGGTCGTGATGGTAAACAAGTATGGTCAGTTTCAAAGCAATACCTCCAATGGTTTTTGAAATAAAGTGAGGTGGTACAAAAAACTTAACCAAGCTCAATACACTTTCTAAGTCAAAAAGGGCCATAATTCTGTCAAAAACCTTGACAGAGTTATGTACTCTTGTCTGTAGATGGAGGTTATGATGGTGAACAAGTATGGTAAGTTTCAAAGCCATACTTGTAATACTTCTGAAATAAAGTGGGGTGGTACGAAAAACTTAACCAAGGTGTGACGCCAACGCTAACGCTAACGCTAACGCCGACGCCGACGCCGGGGCGAGTAGGATAGCTCCCCTTTTCATAGAAAAGTCGAGCTAAAAATGTGTTTATGAAGTTGAGCAACCTTTATACTATATCTTTGCTATACATGATCTGTGCAAGTTTACTGATATTTCATAATCCAATTTTCGAGTATTTTGCAAATCTATGTATAATCTGGTATATTGTACGAAATTTTTACCGTAAGGCAATTTCTAATAATAAATTAACCCTTTAATATGTTAACATATCTTAAGTTGACTATTATATAAGTCCATCTTAAAAATTCTTGGGTACGACCTTTCATCATTTTTAGCGAAAATTTCAAAATAATTATTTACTGACTTAATTGTCAGCAGTGCAGACCACGATCAGACAACATGGATAATACTGGCTGATTGTGGTCTGCAACGGTTGCATTGGCATAATCAGTTGCTGCCATCAGGCTTAGAGTCAAAAGAATTCTTACATTGTATTTTCTGAAGTTTAAGCCGGATAGTTCCCAAGTCTGGTACAGATGTTGCCGACTTAGATCTCTGTCTGTCTCGTTTCTTGCTCCGCTTTTGTACTCCTCCCTTACCGCAACTTTGTGACTGGTCGATGAAAGCTTGCTGGTCAAATGCTTTTATCTCTTCATTAGTTGATGGTAATGGAAATCCGTCGTTCTCTTCTAAAACACAGAAAATTTATAACTTAATCTTTGTTATGAACATATTTGTAATCTACACATTTATAAATGAACGAAGATGTTTTGGTAAATAAAAAATTTAGAAATTTAAAAGCAAAAAACTACATGTAGAATAACGTAGAATAAAGTTTATATCAAGTTAGGCTGGACAGAAATCCTGAAACAAATATTAGATTTTACCTTAACATCAGGTAAAACAATAAGTGAAGTCAAGATTTAAGAAGATGATAATGCATCAGATTTATTCAACCTTTTATGCACCTATCATACCATAGGAGTAACTAGATTTATTTTTCTGGAAACCCCCAAATAACCAACAAAAAACAAAACCAAAACCGGATTTAATATTATCTGTTTCTCAGTAGTTTATCAATATAAATCCAAATCTATAAGCTTAAATATTCCCCATTTCTTTTTTTTTTTTTTTTTTTTTTTTAATAAAAACACTCTCACTTTATCTAAATTCTTATCAGGATTGGTTTTATATGAATATCTCTATAATTGACATGACAGTAATTTTCAATAAGAAATTGTATATCATGGACCATAATGAACCATGCAGCATGACTACTTTCTACAAAGTCTAATACAGATGTAATAGTAAAACCAGAGCATAATTATAAGAATATCATGAACATTGATGAATACTTAAGGATTTTTTTTTGACCAAGCTTAAAATTTGGTCTTTCTATGATGAAAAGTTAGTAAATTTTTCAGTCTCATTTATCTGAACCAACTGAACCTTTAACTTCACCAGAGGTTCACAGATCCTTGGACTAAGGTACCAGCACAATAAATATCTAATATGTTAGTCAATAAATGAAGCTTCTATTCTTGAAAGTGTGGACCAATGACAAAATCTTCAAGACTGACTAACCAGTTCAAAGCCTGCTCATACTTTATTGGTGTTTATTTTCATTGTTTTATAAAACTAAAACTAATCGTATTCATAATGCTAGAATTAAATGGTACATATTTGAAATATAAATAATTGCTGATTTGCAAAGAAACCAACCTGTTTTGGGATAAAATCAACAAATAACAAAACAAATACTAAAATATTCAGATCAAAATGAGGATCAAATTTTAGGATCAAGATTTAAATTTGGATCAACTATAAAATGTTCATATCTTGTAAAAATAATAATAAATTTATTCTAAAATTTCATAAACATGCTATTTCAAGTCCAGTTTTATCATGTTAACACTGAATATTTCATCTATGAGGATAAATAATGGAGAGTATTTGAGTTTTTCAATTTGATCGTGATCTTGATCCTTATCTTTAAATCTTTATGAACACGGGGCCAGAGTTTTCATTTGAAAGACAGGTTAAAAAGTTGGGTTACAATTAACTTAAATTTGGGTTAAAAACTTAAGTTTGAGTTCATTCTCAGATTTGAACACCTCTTGTACAAAACAAACATTAAAAGTCATTAATGCAAGATCTTATATGATCTATGCATGCATCATAGCAATACTTCAATCAGTCTTTTCATTTTTTTTTAAACAGATAAAATGTACAAAATTAAACAGAAGGGTTGAAAAGCAAGGTTAAATAACTTATCATATATTTGAAAAGCTTTTGTACAAAACAAACATTAAATATATTAATGCAAGATCTACTGTGCATGATTTAAACTGAAACGCAATAGCTATTTTTTGTTTCAAACAAATAAAATACCAGTAGTTAATATACACAAAGTTCACTAAACAATCAATGTAAACAAATATGTAGGTTGACTTGTCAATCAAGCAACCATATCAATCTGCACTGCTGAATGGTTTTTAAAACATTCTGAAAGATTTGAATCCCAAACACTTTAAGCTGATAGAAATGCCAAACCAGTTTTCAAGGTCTCAATTATTTTCACACAACTTATAAAAGACTGCAAAAAATGGTCTTGTATAACCCTCTGGCTTAAGATCAATAGGTAGAGCATTGGACTGTGAATTGGGCGACCCGGGTTTGAGTCCCACACGGTGCACGTCACGTTCATTGTAACTGATCATGAAATCCTTACTACGGTCATTCAACTGTTTCTCTCTGCTCAGGCATGTACAGAAGTTTCAGTTCCTTGCTAAAGTGGTAGTAACTAGTACTGGTAAACTGCTTGACTGCCTGCTAAGGATTGATGCAGAGGCTGAACTGAGCTCTGGTAAATTCATTGTGGCTAACTGCCTTGAACCAGATTGAAAACTGCCAACACCACCACCACTCTTGTATGATATTGAATATAAAATTTATAAATTTGAAAGTCACTACCCTCAGCCAGACTACAGACATATTTGCATGATTTAGTGTTCAGCTAAAACTATCATGAAAATTACATGTACATGTATATAAAAGCTTATCTAAACTACATTATTAATTCTTCTGTTTTCTGACTGGCATCATAATTATAAAGAAACATTGTCATGACCCAAAGATAAAAGATATTTTACCTCATAATAATTTTTTGTTTAAAGGCACATTATGCCATTTTTCATCCTACATGTGTTTCAAAAAGTTTTAATCAGCTTGGTGTTAGTCAAAGATTACAATCATGGTAAAACAAGAAGAACAAAGCTATATAACTGTCTGGTAATGGCAGACTTCAAAACTGAAATATTTAATATTTCAAGCAACTCTGTCTCAATGAAATAAAAACAATCAAACATAAAAACATTGTCAGTTCTTGGACTTTGACCCTAATGAGGACGTTAAATCATCATGCACTGTTGTTGTTGTTGCGCAGCTTAATAATGATCTATGTATGTATATAGCATGTATATATGTATATAATGTCTTGATGAGTAACATTTCTTATGACTATCACCACAATGGTAAATGAGCCGCGTCACGACAAAACCAACATGAAGGGTTTGCGACCAGCATGGATCCAGACCAGCCTGCGCATCCGCGCAGTCTGATCAGGATCCATGCTGTTCGCTTTCCAACCCTATTACAAGTAGAGAAACTGATAGCGAACAGCATGGATCCTGATCAGACTGCGCGGATGCGCAGGCTGGTCTGGATCCATGCTGATCGCAAACCCATTATGTTAGTTTTGTCGTGACACGGCTCAAATATTAAATGTTAACCAAATCATAACTATGTAGTTACTAATCTAATTTTGTAATTACTGGTAACTAATTAACTTTACTTGTCATTTCTTACAGCTCAATTTGGATTGCATGACAAAAATTGAATCGTCATATTGTTTTAATGATGAAAACATGACTTTGAGGTTAGTTTTATCATGCTTTATGACAGCATTAAGTCACACAGTAGCTTTTAACCTTTTACACAGCATTGTCTTGTAAGGTATTTTGAACAGTTTTTTTTTGTTTAAGGGATTTCAACAGTTGTTTTTAGAACTCAGCAAATGTGGGTTTTTCAGAGGCTTATCTCCCAGTACATATCAAAATACAAGTATTTTACAGTAATAAGGCACAGTCAGTATAAAAAAACTGGCCTAGGCCTAAATCAATGATAGCCTTAACTTTACTAGCGCTCAAGAGTTTTTTTTTAAACAAATGATGACTTAATAGTTTTTCAGTAAATGAAAAATTATCATGCCGCTTTTACAAAGCAATATTTCAAGAACAAGTTTTAAGCGAACGCTGACCCTCGGTTAACCAGCTACATATATCTTCTCTTATATCCTGACATTAAGTTGTACCCCACTATATTTTGATGATTTGATGATATGGACTCGTGTCTCGCTTAGGAACATCATCCGTTAGATCTTACCACCCTGAATTTACGAAATGGATTAGTTCAGTTTTGATTCTGGAATTGCCCATTGTCAATTTAAAAGGGTTCAAAGATCATATTGCTTGAATTGACCGGCCTGGTCACACATACTAGACTAATGTAACAGGCTGGTCTGGATGAGGCTGGCTCCAATGCTGGTGTTGTTGACCTCCTAGCATTTTGTTTTCGAAGGGACATAATTATAATGACCAGAACATGACATTCAAACACTATGATTAATCAATATATAAAACACTGATTTTCTAAACAATGAACATAAAATGACTAATTGAAAACCCTTGACAATTATATAAATTCTTTCAAAGATAATCTAAACATGACCTTTGTGCACTCAAATATGACCAAGAAAAAATCCATGTGAATTGTGTGAAATTATGCATTCCTTACACTTTAAGTTACATTGTAATCTATATCTTTTTTCAAAATCCACACTTTTTTGGCAAGTAACTGCCACATTCTTGCTGGTTTTTATCTCTTTCAACCTATTCTTACATATCCTACTTAAATTTAAACTTTTAAAATGTAACATATTTTTACCAAAGTATATGTAGCCAATAAGCCTATGGTCTTGCTGGGTGCATCAGCAGTTTAAAATTTCAGTAACAAAATGCTAGAACTGAGCAGCCGACAGTATCAAGCCTGTCGACAGCATACGTGATCTGTGATATCTCTAGTAGGGACCGGTTGAAGATGGCTGTTTAGCCATTCCAAACATTTTACCAGGAGAAACTAAAGACTAAAATTTGAATTTCTAACTATAAGTAATGTTAACAAAAAGAAATATTAGTACATTTTGTAATTCTTTCATAATACAATCTTTCAGTCATTGACATTTTTCACTTAAATGTATACATTTAGATAGACACAGCAGTTATATATATCATAACAGGCGGGTACACAGACAACTTTATTCATCAAAGTCACTACATGTATTTAAATAAAACAAGGTCAATTATGTAATAAATCTATCTGTAGATCATTCAGAAGAGGCATGAAATTAATGATCATAGAATATGTGTACATGTTTTTTCAACTTTTTGACGGATATAAAGATCTACACTATAAATACAGACCCTGGCCAGTCTCACACAGAGTCTGACCATGCACAGTCTGACCACGAGGTTATGTATATATAATTTCTGGTTTAACTTTAACTTCACCTTTAAGTTACGATTTCCATATCAAATACAAATTTGTTATAATGTTAACAAAATTTCATTTT